TAGTCGGTCTTTCGAATAATCGCGAACTCGTTCGGGCGCGTCGCGATTTTCTATTAGCTCGCGTGTTTGATATTTCATTCCCTATTTTTATGGGAACTTGAAAATATCTTAGCGTTGCGACAGTAGAGTTTCAGTATACCGAACCGAAATCCCTTTTGTAAGACACGAAATATAATAAAGTGTCAGTAGAGTCATTTTAACTTAATTCGCTTCAAGGTAGATTGGAGTACCTTTGATACTGTTAGCGCCAGCAGGCTGCGCCACTAGGGCGCATGTCGGGTCTCGATGCGTAGCCACCTCCACGTGGTGGGACCTGGTAATTGGTATCGTCTTCCAAAGAATAATTTTTGGAAAACGATACCAAGCTAAGAGCTACGCACAAAGTTTAAGATATTTCCTATCTCTTGTAAATTTTCAATGTTCTCTTTGGAATTTGAAAATAGAGAGTGGACAATATCTGTTTAAATGATATTTAAATGAAGAGGAATTAAGCTAACAAGGAGAGTGCAAGTCCTTCGAGTCACCGATTTAATTGAAACTTTGTAAATTTGTAGATTTCGTCATGCAGTTCAAGAATATATACCATTATACCCACCACTACTCAATAGTTTTTAAAATATTTACGATTAAAGTTTTATTACTTCTATAACTACAGATTTATTTTCTAAGGTTTTTATATAGTGTTGTGGTCTAATGGCGGAACCCGAAAATTCTTATGTCGAAGATCCGGGGTGTCGATTCTCGTCTGTCGATGATTTTTTTTTCTTCAATCTGATTTTTATTTTGTATTAACTTTTCGCCTCTGAAAACATTGTAAATAAGTAATTGTAAATCAAATTTCTTAATAAAAAAAATTTATTTTTTACGATTTCTTATGCTGGTATATATTTATTATAAAATAATAAGAATACAATGTAAGGAAAACAATTTTCTATAGCAATCATATTTACTACAGAAGGAATACAAAAATATAAATAATCATTACATACAGGAAATACCTGACAAATCTGCAAAATTTCAACTAAATCGGTGACCTGAAGGACTTGGACTGCCTTGTAAGCTTGTTGCTATATAAATTAATGGCGGAAAATTATCCATAATTACCGTCATCGGTAATTTGCGATAGTTTCAAAGAAATTGTGGATAATTTACCGATAGTTTTCGATAAAATTTATTTAAATTTATAAAAGTTTAGGAAGGTCAATAAAATCAAATATGATTAATTTTTAAATATCCATTTATTCTTGTTTAGGAATTAAAAAAATATTTTTGGTATTTTGTTTCAACTGAATTCATTTCTTTCCAATTAAGGATTTTGCTATCGTGTTTATAAAAAGAAAATATTAGGTTGTGCCATGGCTGTTTGAAGTGACTCGGTATATTTATACTTATTCAGTAAAAGAAAACATTTATTAACAAAGGAAGTAAAATAAAAACAATTAATAACTTTAATTAAGTGTGAGGAACTTCAACAAACAATTCTTTGGTTCTTCTTTCTTCTCACTCACCACTCGCACGATTCACCCCCCAACATACGTGGCGTCTTCGATCTCTTGCATTGAACTAGTTCTGTCTCTCACCACACGCAATACCAACACTGTCTCGGGTTTCCGCAACGAAGCACGATTACCACTTCAACAATGGCAACCGTCAAAGTATATATAGATATATATATTGGTGATGTAATATATTTCCTTAGAATTAAATGCTTTTATCACAAAATTATCTATTTTATTCAAAAAAAGAAAGACATGATTATATTGAAGATTGAAGTTGATATTGAAAATAGCATAGAACACAGATTTTTTCGGCTATTAAAAACTATCGATAGTACAGATTGACTATCGATATTAATTAAAGAGAAACCATAGATAATTTACCAATACAAATGTGGAAAACAAATGAAACTCTTGAAAGTGTATCCATATAGTTTATTTTAAAAATTCGACTATTACTTTCGTATTTTTTAAATAAAGCAAAGAAAAAAAAGAATTTTTAGGATGGCTATTTCCTTACAATGTAAAGTTGTTTATGGTTTAAAAACTGATGTAATTTCAAATGCACATTATATTACGGATGCAGAAATTTTATACCCTGTCGGAACTGTAATAGCAGTTCATAATATTCCGCAATGTCGGCAAAGATTGATACGTTTATCTGACAAACAACAAATAAATATAATTTCAGTTACACACGATAAGTAAGCTTTTGTATAGCTGGTTTGTATATAGTTTGTATCCTATAATACAAAGGTACACACTATTTTTTCAATTTTTTTCATATAGGAAATATGTTGCAACATGTGAAGTTGGTGAAAAACCTACTATATCTATTTATGATCTTCACACATTAAAACGAAAGAAACTTCTTGGAATACCATATGATGCTCCTGATGTAACAAAGTTTACTTGTATAGGATTTACTTTTGATAATAAGTATCTAGCAGCAGTTACAGGAGAACCTGATCAAACAATGCTTTTTTATAATTGGGAAAAAGGAAAAGTAGAATCCAGTTTAAAAGTAGGCACTCCACAGAATCCGTTGGCTATTGTAGAAGTATTAGTTTGTAATCCATCTGATGTAGGAATACTTGCACTTGGAGGGCTACACACATTTAAATTTTTAACTCTTTCTGATACTGTATGGAGACCATATGGATTTTCTAAAGCAGATAATATACTTACATGTTCTATGACTTGGTTGAGTTCAGATAGACTATTGCTTGGAACTAAAGATGGTAGAATACTTTACTTAGAGAATGGTGATTTGAAAAACATTTATAAAATGACTGATACAGTACAGATGAATCTTAAAATTCGTGAAGAATATGTCATACAAGCTAGTAGTTCATTAACAGCCATGGATTCAAAGCAAGAAATTCCATGGGAAAACAATGTTCGCTGTTTAATTTCATTTCAAAGAGGATTTGCATATGCATTTGGTTCAAGAACAATTATAGTTTTTGAGAAAGATGGTCCACATAAATATGTAAAAAGAAATATTTATATAGTTCCAACTCAAGCAACTAAACAAGAAAATAAAGATTTATATCAAATCAATAATATAAATCCTAACTTAAGTTCAGACCGTTTGATAATTACGACTGGTTGGCCCCAATTATTTTATGCAAGATTATGGGGGCCAGATCTAAATGTAGATCCAGAACCGCAAGAATTAAAAATTGTAGGTCAAACATTGCATTTTGGTCCCATAATTGATCTTTCTATGTGTGCATGGAAATCAATTTTCATGACTTGTGGAGAACTTGATCATAGTGTAAGATTATGGGATTTTGAAACAGAGAGTTTAATTTTACATAAACAATATACAGAAGATATTTGTGGAATTGCTTTGCATCCTACAGGTCTTTTTTGCTTGATAGGTTTCAGCGATAAATTACGTTTTATGAGTATATTAATAGACGATTTATTGCCTATGGAGGAATTTTCTATAAGATGTTGTAAGACTGTAAAATTTAGTCACGGTGGTCATTTATTTGCTGCCGTTAACGGGAATATTGTACAAGTTTATTCCACTATTGATTTTACTAATCGATTTGTCTTAAGAGGGCATACTAAGAGAATAAAGACTTTATTATGGTCGACAACAGATACAAAACTATTTACATTAGGTGGAGAAAGTGTGATTTATCAGTGGGATATGAGTACTGGTTGTCGTACAGACCAAAAAATTTTCAGAAATACCATCACTGTACATGATATTGCTCATTCTTTCGATGAACGATCTATATATATTATTGATAATGCTAATTCTATACACGAGATAAAAGATGATGGGGTAATATCTAATTTAATTTGTCGATAATATTAACATAAAAAGCAAAATAATATAGTATTTTAATATATAGGTACAATTTAATTGGATAAAAAATGCAAATATGTATTGCATGGCATTAGCAAAAGGAGTTCTATTTTTAGTTTGTTCTGGTGGCATTATTTTATCATTACTATGTCCAGTTCAAGAACCAATTGAATATACAAGTTTCCGTATTCATTCTGTTGATATTACAAAGGTAGAGAGTTATATACAGTAAAAACTATAAACATGTAGTACCACATCTGTTATATATATCCTTTTTTTTTATAGATTGCTCTTTCATATAATGAACAATACTTAATATCTACTGGTATAGATGGTAGTTTGTGTATTTGGAAACTAATCCATTCTGAAGGAACAGGAAAGATTGGACAAGAAATTACATATACAAATGAAGTATTAATTAATAAAAATGACCTGCAAGAGAAAATACAGATGATTATAGACTTAAATGTTAGAATGAGAGAGTTGGAAACTGAACATGCATATAAAATGCGTCAGGTAGAAGTAGTACATAATGATAAAGTACGGGACATACATCAAGTATATTGTGAAGCTATTGAAGAATTGAGGGACAAGATAAGTAAACAACAAGAAGATTACAAGAACGCGCTGAACACAATAAATGTAGAAATACTTAAAATGAAGGAAAAACACGAAGAAACGGTAAAACAGATAGAAACGAATTATGATGCTAAACTTATTACAGAATATGATAGATATTTAGCGCTTGAAAGTATAATGAATACCATGCGACAAAATTATGAAAAACGTTTGGAAGAAATGGAGAAGCATGGAACTGAAGAATTACAAAAAGCAACAAATAAATACGAGGCTATTCTTCATGTGAAGAAATTACAATTGGAAGACACTCAGGATGAAATGCTGCAGCAGGTACGAGTACATGAACAAATAGTAACACAAGTAGAAGATGATGTTGATAAAGAAATATTGGACCTAAGAACAAATTATGAAACATTACTATACAAAGAAAAAGAATTAAATATACGATTAAAAGGAGAAGCTGGAATGATGCGTAATAGATATATGGCGAGTTTGAAAGATGTTGAAGAATTGAAAAGGCAAGTGCAGCGAGTTCAGAGTGAATATATATATTTCCAAAAAACTATCCAAGAATTAGAAAAAGATAAGGAAGATCTGAGGAAGGAAATAAATGAAAGAGATATTACTATTCAGGATAGAGAACGTCAAATATACGAATTAAAGCGTTCGAATCAAGAATTGGAGAAGTTTAAATTCGTTTTAAATTACAAGATTACGGAATTGAAAAATCAAATAGAACCGCGAGACCACGAAATTAAAGAGCTTAAAGAAAAAATTCGAGATATGGAAACGGAACTTGTAAATCTGCATAAAACCACTGTCAGTTTAGAATTGCAGTTACATGAATTGAGGGAAAAGTTAGGAGCCGCGAGACGTGAACTTCAATATGAATTACATAGAAATAAAAGATGCCAACAACTTTTAAAAAGAATACGAGTAGATTTGCTTGATGCCTCAGGACTTGTGCAAGATCCACAGGCATTAAAGAGTGCTATAACGAAATTATACCAGAAATATAGTTCAAGCGATGAATTCCTTCGTAGTCGTAAAGCAGATTTAGACGTGCAATGTGAGTTTATGAAACAGAGAGATCATTTAGAGAGAACAATAGCTTCCCTTAGGAAACAAGTTTTCCAAAATAAAGGTAGCAATGGTAAAGATGTAGATAAAACGGTGGAGGAAAATATTATTTTGATCACAGAATTAAATGCTTTAAGAGAAGAATTGAAAGATGCAAGAAAACATATACTACACATGGAAGGTTTATTAGGGTTAGCAACAAAAGATATAAAACCGTCAGAGGCGAGAAAGAAATTGGAGCAAGCATGCTATGGACATGAGCATCTACGAATCGAATATAGATCTCAAATGCAAGAGTGTCACAATATAATAATTGCTTTAAACGATGATATGTATAAATTAATAAGTAAGCTGCCTTGTGAAGAACCAGAAACTAAAATAACTTTTTAGATATGTTTATTACGTGTATGTTATACTATTAAATTATTAAATTTATTATTATTATTGCATCTATGTGCAAAATATTTTTTTAATTAATAATGTGAAAAAATGTTTGAAGAATGTAATACACACTATCGTATGAAGTTCCATTGTACATTATTTATTTAAACAACAAAGATATCAATAACAAAATAGGACTGAGAAATCATAATAATAATTATTAAAACGGTATTTCAAAATTAGAATTAATGTATTACCTAAAGGATAAATGGAATAATAGCTTTCCTATTCTTTGGATATTGAGGAAATTCTTTTTTATATGCTTTATGTTTTCCTAATGCCCAGATAATCATTTGATATGCACCAGCAAGGGTAAACAGACCAGCTGGAAAAATATAATTTCATATATTTTGTTATGTGTAATATTTTCTTTTTTTCCTATTATAGTAAAATAAAAAATATTACCTGGAAGACATGATGTCATAATAGTAAAACCAATCCAACTGCCAATTTCATAAGTATAATTTGGGCATGACACAAGACCAAACAATGCCGTAAAGGGATTATCGGTGGGCATTGGTATTTTTCTTACAGTACTGCCTGCTGGTCTTAAATTTCTTAGAGCTAAGTGGATACTTAGGTTTCCCAATTCACAAAGTGTAAATGTCGCTAGTCCAATAAGAAATTGAAGTTGGCTTGGACTTGTATAAAGAGGATGATTTACATGGTATGCTACATACAACGCAAATAGCCAATAGTACGAACAATTTTTAAAAATATTACGTAGTGGCATTGTTGCATGACTAAACCTGTGTACAAACAATGTTTCTAGAAGCCTCTTTGCATAATGTATACTCCAACAAATAGCTGCCACACTGAAATCATATATGAATTTTATACTGTGGCATTCAATCTCTGTATGATTCTTGACTGAGACTTTTATTTATAAACTGTATCTATAAAACCTTTTATCTCAGTATTTTGATAACACAACATTTAATTTTACTAAAGGTCAAATGGCATCCTAGTACTACTAGATAAGTTATCTATAATTTGTATCAATTGATCTCTTTTCAATGGGTTATTTGACCTCTAAGAATGGTAACAGTATAGTAAGCAAAATTCTTAGGATTAAGTTTTCAGGCATATTATATGAACTTACTGAACTGTGTTATCAATTGTTACTGCAACACCATGTGGTATCCATCGACGTTGATACATCCATAGATATAGTACTAATGGACCAGCATATTCCACTAAGAATACAGTTTTCCAACTAATTTGAGGTCCTAGGTCTTTGAGGTATAATTTTCCACCAGTAGAAATTGATAAACTTTTCAAGGTATCTGAATCAGACAAACTTTTCCCTTTTGCATCTAGTTTTAAGCTTTGTCTATGAACATGTGGTGCCTTTTTTAACTTAAATAATTCTTCTTTAATTTCCAATATAGTTGTAGTAGATTTCACCTGAACATATAAGGTAAAATTAGGTAAAAAAATAAAGTAATATTATATCAAAAGCATTTAATTAGAAATTAAAAGTAACATATACTATTATACATTATGTATTAATGAAAATTAATTGTGCGATGTATGAACAGAATAAGTAATTACTGGTAAGTTTTGAAGAATATGTTATCTTATATAAATAAGTCAAAAATATTTTTATTTCGACTTTTTCATTACTTACAGACAGATCTGCTACGAATTTTGATGTCCTTCCGGTCAATATTTGAATCTAAAAAATTAAAAAAATGTGCATTATACATTTCACTTATGAAAATAATTAGATAATAATTTCAATGTGTTTTACATAAATAAGTACCTCCATTTCAACTAATAGGTTGTCGATATATTATTACTTAACTAAAAGAGCTGAGCGGCGAATATACTCTCCTAATGTTATTCCACTGCGTCGGGGATCAAACTGAACGGTATACTGCGGCGCTGTGATCGTTCCATTGTTCAAAGTTCAACTTTTTTCCGATGACCAATGAATTTTTATCATATTTTTTCAAATGACATTCATAGAATTGATGTAAAAGTCATTGTGTGCGAAAAGAGTAAATTTCCATTTAACACGTTTTTTATTTTCCTTGAAAATTTCACGGTATCTAATTTAAATAATATAAAATATACATATATAAATTTATGATATTTTTTCGTATAATACTTTCTCGTATTGATCGCCTTTGATGGTAATAAATATAAAGTAAATGGAAAAATATTAAATGTGAATTTAATATACACATAGATATAATTGTAAATAGTCATCTGTATTGATTTTCTAACCGTATGTAACGTATACTAATAACAGCACTAATAAAATACTAACGTTTACAGAAGATATCAGTATTAACATAAGAATAAAACTGCTGTTTCATCTAATACATAAATATTTATAAGTACATTTAAAATGACGCAAGTATATTTGAAATAACCACAGGAAGGAAAACAAGCTCAAGAACTGTATATTTATTAATTTGCACAATTTTACCAATGACATAATTATAAAAGGTTTATAAATGTCGTTGATAGATATCGCTACTATAAATTTCTATAAAATAGATTTCTGCATGAACATCGAAGTTTAAATAACTCTGTCGATAATATTCTTTAAAAACTCTACGTTAACAAAAAAAAAAAAAAAAAAAATGAAGTGCATAAAATTTTCAAAATTTGTTGTAGTTATGAAGATCAAGATAAAGAGAAAAAATTTTATATAGAAATTTTTATTACGTTCATGAATGTGTTTATTTCCCATCACGATATTGCTGTTTAAAAGAAAAAAATGATCTCGTCACATTATTTAAATAAATCTAATGCTATTGAGAATATTAAATATTCTTTTGGTATAGTTTTACATTATTAGTGATAAGTATATACATGATTTAAAAGAAATCATATTTTTTTAATATGTAATTTATATAAAATTCTTGTCAGTAGATTTTTATTTATCAATTAAGTTGTAATATAAGTTTATTAATAATATTTGTATTATGAAACTAGATGCGCAACTATACGTTTTATGTAGCTTATAAATTCTTAGGAATATAGAAAAGGAAGTACATATATTTATAAATAACACTGGCAATTACATGTGAGTACATATACAAATAAAAGGGAATATCGTTAAGTGAAATTTATCGTTGTAGAATAGATTACCTCGTATTTAATTAGGTAAAATTCTTAAATGATATGTTCGTTAAACGAACACTGAGCGAAAAGTATTTTAATATATAAAAGTATACAAATTATTTTTTTAGATTACACCTGTAGCTTTTCGGTATTGACCAAAGTGTTCTAGGTATTGCTGTATCGTGTCCAACGGTTGGTAAATATCGTTCATACGGTTCTGCAAACAAAACGAGAAATTTACACCAACACATATTTCACTTTCGTCTATTTTCCTTTTTTAAATTCCGATTTATTCTTCACATTGAAAATAATATTTGTTATTAATACCTGTAAATATTGCGGGGCCTGATTGGACACGGTGGAACCGAGGAATCCTTGTAAAAATTCACGCATCAATTCCCATGCACTTCCCGGAACAACACAGGGTCTGTATTCCACCTGTAAAAAGGAAAAGAAGAAGGAAACAAAAGAGAAACAACAATTTTGTATTTGAAAGGAATAAAAGAGTTCTCGGAACAAGAGGTTTTCTTCCTTACCGATCGAAACTTTCTTTTAAAATTATTTTATAATCGAAATGATTGTTGAGAGGAGTGAATTATTTATAATAATTATAAATAATAATATTTTAATTTAATATTATTAATATTTTAACAATAACATTTAATAATAATATTTCAATTATTCATTTCTCGCTATATAATTTAAACACTCTATAATGTAAATAAATTTTAAAAGTGTAATTAACACCATTAGCTGTGTATGACGCACATGTATTAGCATATATGCTGATGTTTATGAAATTAACAAGTCGCATATAAAAAAAAATTAATTACGACAATTTATCGATTCGCTTTTTTTGTTAAAGTAATTCTATCTTATTATATCGAGAATGAATTTTTCCACTAACACTACTTTTAACATTACTGACACGTGTCTATACGTACATTTATTAATATTATACTTTATTAATATTAACTTCTATTAATACAAATTTTACATAATAATACAACAAATTTTATTAATACAAATATATACCGTGGGTAAAAAGAATATTGTCACTTCATATTACGAGAAAACTCACCTAAACAGATTCCGGTTTGAATTTTTTAATTTCTGCAAAAACCTACGAGTACGAATATCATAACAGACTGTACATGCACCAATTTTTTTCTTTTCACTTTTTTCACTTTTTTTAAATAGAAAAAAATAACTTTAATTTTCACTGTTCTATAATGGTATTGTAAAAAAAAAAAGAAAAAAAGAATTCCGAAAAAGGATTATAATAAGAGGACGAAAAAATCCTGCAACTTCGGGGGTCTATTTGGTTTTTCAAAAAAGATTTCTCGTCCATAAAAAATATTTCTCCATCCAAAATTCATTTTACTCCGCATGTACACGAACTTTCGTTGAAATTAAAACTTCCCTGGATGAATTTCCTCGCGATACAGTATGCTAATACCTTCCTCGCTAACTGTACGTATACAAAGCAACGGAGGACGCGACTAATGCACTCGAAAGTTAAGATCGTTCTTCATCACAAGATATCACTGGTTGGAAGAAAGCGCAAGCGCTCGAGGGAACGTCTTCCGGTTTGCCGCGCACGTCAACCATCGATACCATTTTCTCGTTCCACGAACTTGTTTAGCAAGTAATTCACTGATCGAAAGCGCCCCGCGACGTGTTACGATTAACAGGCTAATTTAATTTGACTCGGAGCAAGCGTGTTTCGAGAGCGCGACGAATACAGCGGCGGACATTGGCGGGAAAAAATGGGGGGAAAAAGGGGGACGTTCCACGAACTTGTTTAGCAAGTAATTCACTGATCGAAAGCGCCCCGCGACGTGTTACGATTAACAGGCTAATTTAATTTGACTCGGAGCAAGCGTGTTTCGAGAGCGCGACGAATACAGCGGCGGACATTGGCGGGAAAAAATGGGGGAAAAATGGGGGAAAACGGGGGAAAGAGGGGTAACAGGAAGCATGGTCGACGTCGTGAGAACCAGAGGTGGCCGAGGTTTGGGAAATATCGAATCGAGACGAGAATCTTTTTCAGGATCGAGACGAGATCTAGAAAGCATATTTCCGATCGAGAATATCGATCCAGAAACTCGAAATTTTCTAAAATCTCGAGATTATCGAGAATCTAGCTAAGTTTCAAGAATTTTGACAAATTTTGAAAATCTCGATCATTTTGAAGAATTTAGGGAATGTTATTTACGAATGGAGTGGAGGGGGAAATTAGAAAGAGCTTGAAATTTTAGAATTCTGCAAGTGTGAATTCTGTTTTGGAATTTTCTTTAAACATTGAAGATTTCTCAATAGCTTTGGAATTTTTACCCCATTCTCGAAATTCTTCAAAATGGTCGAAATTTTCGATATTTTTGATCAGGAATGTACACTCGAGATCTCGAAAGTTGCCAATCGTATAAACGTTGGGGAATATTACGTTATCCAGGCGAGAGATAATGGGAGAAAAGATGTGGCCATTACGAGGTAGCAGGCTAACAAATTGAAACAACGTGCCGCCGGTTTGAATGGCGGGTTGCGGCCGCAAGAAGAATCGATCGAGCCCCGTCCAGTTCTTTTCGCTGCTCGTTTCTCTTTTCTGCGCGTTCGCTGATCAAGATCGTGCAGTCAATGGCATGAAAGGACAGAGCAGATATCGTCCTCGACGAGATCGATAACGCGAAAATCCAACGAATTCTTCCAAGCTATCGATCAGAGCTCGCCGATTCTCCCTGCGATTGCCGTCTCGATTCTGTTCACTCGTATCTCAACTCCTTAATCGCGTATGACGAGTTAACTCGTCGTCGTAAAAATACTTGCCAGGGCTTAAAGTGAAATCTCTATGAAATCTTTATCGTTTAATAATCGCGTGGAATGCAATTTCTATCATTTCGCAATTACCGTGCACGCGACGAGTTAACTCGTCGTCGTAAAAATATCTTTCAGCGCTTAAAATGAAATCTCTATGAGATTTCTATCGTTTAATGATCGCGTGGAATGGAATTTCTATCGTTTCGCAATTACCGTGCACGCGACGAGTTAACTCGTCGTCGCAAAAATATCTTTCAGCGCTTAAAGTGAAATCTCTATGAAATCTCTATCGTTTAATAATAACGTGGAACGCAATTTCTATCGTTTCGCATTTACCGTGCACGCGACGAGTTAACTCGTCGTCGCGAAAATGCATTTTAACAGTTACAATGAAACCTCTATCGTTTAATAATCGCGTGGAATGCAATTTCTATCGTTTCGAAATTACCGTGCACGCGACATAACAGCAAAACACGTTGCTCTGTGTATAATAATCGTGGAGTCTAGCAACATGACGGAAATGGTGACAAATGACGAGTTGAAAATGACGCGTTTAAAACGGACCTGCAAAATGTGGAATTTACACAATAATTATTGAAATTCCCATTTTTAGCATCTTCACGACGTATGTACACGCTGATACGATAATTGGATAAGTCACCGATTTTATGTCCACGCCATTTTATCGTTGCGTCTCACGAAACGTCCTCTTGGCTCTCTTTGTCTCGCAATTCTACGTGATCCAATATCTAGACGCGATACTAATATACTTACAATGAAAAACGAAAATTCGTGTGACCCATACCTATAATTACACGAGTGGAGATAAATCTATCGTATCAGAACCGATCAAGTCCGATCATGCCCGAATTTTTCTCCTAGTCCTCTCCTCGGCTCCATTTAATTTCGACTTAACCCCAGGCACCCGTCGCGGGCATTGTATCAAGATAAACGACGTCGCCATTTTTATCTTTGTATCTCGTATCAAACACTCAACGCTATTCAACGTCCACCACGTTCGCGGCAGTATTTTATCTCTCTATCTCATTCGATTTCGATATATCCCTTTCACTTTCTCCGTCACGCAATGTCGTATGATCTGATACTTAGATCCGCGATACTTTCGATCGATAAAATTCGTGTACCCTGCCCCTATAATCGCGTGAGAAAAGCAGGACCCATATACGATCGATCGGATCCACATTCCTGTGGCGAGATATCTCGAGTTTCGCGAACCCAGCATTCGCTTAAAATCCGAGAAACTGCGAGGAAGAACTCGGGACCAATCGCGAGACGAAGTTAACGCAGTCGCGACATCTGGCGTCCGAATGCGGAGATTATCTCTCGACGATATTCCTTTCGTACCGAGGAGAACTAAAAGACACGAAGAGGCGAAGAAAATGGCGACTGGATGTCCTCAATGCAGTGGCGTACGACGCAGTATTTTCCCCGAAATGGCGAAATTAATGGCCGAACCCGAAATGGGGTTTATCGTGACGTATTTGAGGTTAGAAACGGTGGAGTTGGAGGTTACGAACAGCGCCGTTACCGATACGAATGGCCAGAGGGACGCGTCGAAGGGCCGTCGCGTGGTTCCTCCTCGTCCTCCAGTTCCCAGCTCGTGAAACGGAAGTTACACCATTGTAGTTGCGACACCGGTTGACCGAGAAACGTTCTCGCGTTTAGAACTCTGGCCACGATACGGGGAATGTCGTGGCTGCTGGCAACCGGGAAAAAGGCACCCGCGAATGCAGGCCTGAACGGCCTGATTGACTGCGTTATGGTCATTGTTGAAACGCTTTTCGAAAGTGGAACGGCTTTGATTCAGGTTCGAATTCCAGTTCCATCGGGTCTAATCGATCTGTCGGGATAGCGGCACGTTACAGGTGGTGGTCGAGACGTTTTAATTAAAATAATTCTTTAAGAGGGGGCATAAACGCGGAACTTGTGAGAGGAACATCGCGGAATATTTTGTTAGGAGGATTTTACCGCGAATCACGCGATATTTCCTCCTATCCAATCATCTATCCGGTGCACATTGCGCGCATCGGGCCCAGAGGTGCGCGCAAAAGCGGTCGCGGTGTATGCAAATGAGATTCGCGAACGGTGGCAACGCGTTCGGAAACGAACCGGCCGGAATCATAACGCGTTCCGGTGGAATTCGATTTTTATTAACCCTCCGTTGAAAGCACCCTGGCACAGGTGCGAGCTGATAAATATGACTCGCAGCTGCTCGCAAATCGAGTCTCTTTCCGGGCTGTCGTTGTTTCGCGAATTTTCGCGCGGCCATCGGAATTTTGGGGATTTCTCGTCGAACTTTCGTCAAAATTTCTTCGAAATTTCAGGTTTCATGGTGGTGTCGTTAAAATCGAAATTCGTCCAGATGTAATCGGGATTTAATCGGGATACGTCTAAGGAAGACGGTCGGCCCTGGGCGTATTCGTGTATGAACACAGGGGATTCACGCGTGTATGGGGAATCTCACGGTGGACCGAGCTCTGTCAATCGATATTGCACGGCAGTCACGTGATCGACAAGGCGTCCGGAAGTAGCGCAGGCTATTTCGCCCGTTTCCAAGTTTAATCGCGAGTTAATTAGCTCGCGCGACCCCTCGGGATCCCTGGCAACGCTAGTCAGCCTGGTAACGAGTTTCGCGAATATCACTGGCCCAGACATCTGCCCCGATTATTAATTCGACCGATTATCCGGCCAAAAGTTCCCCTAGGCTGTGCGAAAAGTTTCCAAACTCATCCCCTTTCCTCGGGAAACGTGGTACGCGCCGGTTTCACCCTCGAATCCTCGCGTCAGTCCTCGAGGCTAATCAATTTCCACGAGGTCCTTTGACTCGCCTACCCTCTTACCTCCACTAGAACGCCCTTGAAGTTCTGATTGATCGTCACGCTGCCGAGTTTCACGCAAAAGTCGCCGATCTCGAACCGCGGTCCCTTAGACTCTATCTTCTGCATCTTGTTCGTGTAGATGCTCGACATCTTGTACATCAGCAGATCGAACAGGCCGTCGGCTATCAGCGGGACCACCTTGTTGCCCGATTCCAGGATCGCGAAGGCTGACGCAGGCTGCTCGGAGTTGTGCAGCACGTGGAGAGTTCGTTGCACGCCTGTACACAGTCGATTTTTATTCATTAGTGTCGAGGGGTTACGTTGCAAAAGCACGTATCCAGTGGAAACGGTGCAAGAATATATGTTTACTGAACGGGCGTGACTGCCTAGGGCCACACAGGTCACAGGCGACTCTAGAAGACAGGAGATGAAAGGACAAAAAGGGGAAGAAGAGATCACCGTCCACATTGCTAGGTATAGAGATTTTTGCTAACTTTTAACATTCGGGTACTTCAACAATTATCTCGGTTGCAGAGATTGGTATCTTGTAAGACAATAGAGATTAATCTTTGGGGTACCGATCTGTAGTGATTGAGTCTGAGGGGATCCCCCCACGGGGTATCTTTTAATGTCTTCGTTGGTACGCTCGGTCTAGACTCTTGTGGTTCCTGATGGTGCTAGTCTGTTGTATCCCCTTGGTCCTTGTGCTATTATAGGGTAGCAGGTAGTAGGACGACAGGAAAAGGAAGGGATGAGCGTTTCGACCCGGGCCTGCTAGTGGACTCGCCAGTAAGACTTTCTAGCAGGTGCTGCCTTAAATAGGGATACTCAGGTGGCACAGGAACTTAACCCCTTGTCCTACGATATAAGATTCAACAGCGTGGGCTTCGAGTCATTACAAATCTCGGCAAATTTGCTTTAAGTTGTACCAATCGCACACGACTTACGTAGGGTGACGTAGCTATTAGAAAAATATAATTCGGGGAAAGTTAATTTAATAAATTACAAAAATACTAGTGAAGAATTAAAAACAAACAAATGATCAAAACTAAATGACATATCAAATTAAACAATAAACAATGAAGGCTAATAATTGAAGTGGGACACATCGACAAACCATGAGCGTGACACGTGGTGTTTACATTTGGCTCGGTCGACGTACCACGTGCCAGACCCGTGATACTCAGTTTCGACCCGACCGATGTATCACGGGCCAGGCTCGTGGTAATCAGTTTTGGCTCGACAAACTGACCACGAGTCTCACACGTGGTTTTAGGTCAAAGGTCGAGGATTCACGAGAAGTTCTTAAACCTCTTTGAAGTTGGAATCCATCTAGAGGTGAGAGTGAGAATTACGGTCGCTACGAGTCTTTTACCAAGCAGAGTCCTAAGTCGTTTCTTTATTTCAACGATGATCTTATCGCAATCGTGATCTTAATTTTCCATGGGTATTTTAATAATAATTACACGGGTACCTCGGTTAGTAGTCCAATACCATGGCAGATACAAAAGACAAGAGACCAAAGTCTCCACAGACATGTCTACACCTGAGAACCATGCATAGACAATGAATACTCCAATTTTTCCTCAAAACATTTACCTGAAAGTGAAAGTATCATCCAAAATTCGTACCATTTGCTCGTCAACCCGATTGCCGATTCCCTTCGCGTCTCCAGAGAGAAAAGGGTTGGATGGGCGAAGCGGAAGGGCGTGCAAGAATCGTTTGTACGTCCGGGCTCGGCAGATACGCTTCCGAGTTGCCTCTGTTTACACCGGCATGCACGTGCACATAACGCGACCCGAGCTAAACTTGGACCCAACTTGAAGTTCAGCCCAGGCCACGTCCAACTTCTATCCCCGGAGCGTGCGTCGACGACTCGCACGCTGAATCCCCGGACGCGAAAACTATCGGGATTGCCCGGGACGACGATCTCTATCCCCTGGTTTTCCGATAAATTTCCAATTCCCTAGACAGCTAGTTAACGAGAACTAATATCCGCGGTTTAGTCGATTCGCCTATTTCCTCCGGCTTCCTCTTCTCCTAACTGGGCAGAACAAACTTTGCCATCCGCTTTCCACGACTGATTTATTACCGCGATATTTTTCGATCGCGATGATGGTTACGAAAGTTTTTCCAAAATTTTTTCTCCTCTTTCTCTCTCTTCCTGTACCGAGAATTATTTCGGGAATAACGGAATAGGCTTTCGGATATTCGCATCGTCATCTTCGATCGATATTACGAACGATTCTTTCTGGTTCACGATAATCGGGTACCAAAATATTTTTTGGCTATTATGAGCATTATGAAAGAAGTGTAACATATTTTTTCCCTTTTTCTGGTTACTTCTGTGCCGCAAATTATTTCGGGAATAGCGGAATAGGCACTGTTCGGGTCCCCGCATTGACGTTATTCGATGTCACGAATGATTTGAAGACGATTTGAAAGCGATTTGAAGGTGATTTAGAGCCGATTTAGAGCCGATTTGGAGCCGATTTGGAGATTTTTTCTTGGTCGGATACGATGGAGATGGAAGTGGAAGGGAGGAATGCGATGGGAACGAATGGCGAACGATTCCATCGCTCTCGCGTTTCGATTAGTTGCTTGGATGTAAACAATTACACCGTCATCGGCGATTACGCGCGATACGGAGGGATTAAAGTCGATCAATCGCAGCCGACAGGGGATGATAATGCAGTTGGAGCTCGATGCGGCGAATAATAAAATCGGATGGAATTGAGTTATACGCGGGTGAAATGGAAATCTGACAGATTCGAAGCTACATTTCATTATCCGAAACGCGATTATTTTGCCATTTTCAGGATCGGAATTAACGCGATGTCCTACGAAACCGATCACGTGTCACACACGAATACACACGCGCGCGTCCACTCTACGTTCGCGAATTTAATTCTACGAAACACAGGGTTGCTTCTATCCGTGTTTCCACGCTTTTTGTTCTGTCCATTTGTACGTATAACGCGTAAATTCCCTTTGCGTTTTCTAAATTCCTGGAGAGCTAAAGTCCAACGAACATCGAGAACGGAACATTTTTCCAGATAGCTCGTGTCCCTTTTCCGAAACGCGCGCCTCTTTCGTTGCGCGCTTGGCGAGCGCGTATCTTCGAATTAAAAATGGAAGATAAATCGGAACCAGGATGCGTCCCGCGTCGAATCGCGGCCGTATCAGGCGGATTAATACCGGCCAGACAGAAACGTACGACGTGCGAACTGCGTTGAATATTCATAATTCATCGGACGCAACCCCTCACCTGGCCCGTCCGCCATAATAGCAGGCTATCGGCGAGCGCGAGCCTCCGGCGCATGAATTATTTATGCAGCGAATTATAACGCACCCCACTCCGCGGCTTCGAATGACAAAATTCTTAATTGCGGATCGGCAGACCCGCGGACAGCTTTATGAGCTTTAATTGTACACCGCTTACGCCCTTATTTATCACCAGCGGCCGAGCTTAGCGTGGTGAACGCGCTCGTCACGATTCCTTCGTCCTCGATAAGAGGAGACTGTTCCAAAAACGGAAGAGCCTTGGCCGGGACTTTGGCGCGAGGATTCGTCAAAACCGGGACTCTCCGGCCAGAGTGTCTCGCGTCGATACAGCGAATAACGCGTGGCGTTCGAGCTGCGACCTATTTCCGCTTGTAATTTCCCGAAAACAATGGGAACGCGCGCGGGCCGCAATTCGGATTAACGAACAGGCTGATTAGAAGCGTCCTTTCCGCTACTCCGCCGCTCCGGCCTCCGCCTCCTGCTCCTCGTCCGCAGCTTTCCGCGGGGCAATTCGCACCAGCGACCATGTACGGCCCTGTGACGCGCCGCATGCCGCATTCCGCATCGTCTGCATCGCGCGTATGCATCGCGACGCGGATGTACGGGCGCCGCAGGAGCCGCAAATGTGGCCCGCTACCCTCCGCATCCGCAACGATCAGCAATAACACCTTATCGGTGTAACGACCTCGAAATAAATATCTCCCGACCCCTACCTCGTCGCCCCTATCCGCCACGGATACCTTTAACTCGTCCTTAATTTACCCGTAATTTCTCCTTGATCCGTCTTTCATTTGTCCTTAATTTCTCCTTAATTTCTCCTTAATTCCTCTTCAATTTCTCAATTCGTCCTTAATTCGACCTTAATTCAGCGTGAACTTTCGTCCGACGAGTTCTTTCGTCCGGAGAGTTTTACCACACGGTTGCTAGGTAGGTCTGTATGAGGAAAGAGGTTCGTGACCGTGAAACCGAGAGATCCGCGAGTGATTAACGAATCGCCGTGGACATCCACTGACCGTTCGATGGTTAGGAGGCAAGGTGAATCAGGGGTATCGGGTATTCGAGCGGTGCCTCGTGCCTGGCGTTCGTGTAGCCTCGCAATTGCGGCTCGTTATCGAGCCGCACGTCCGATAGCCGTGAAACAGGGCTCATAAAAAACGGCAGTTAGCAACGAATTACGAGACAAAGCTGGTCGCGGGATCCGCCTCGCGGTTTCAATCCGCGCCCGCAAATTCTTCCACCGCGCCACCCCTGTCAAACGTCTTTCCTATTCCGTTACCTTTCCTCCTCTTTCTCTTCGCCTTTCCCCGTCCTCTTCGTCCTCTTCAGCTCTTTCCATCCGCTGTTCCGTCTCGAATCGTTTCGCGTCCTAGCCCGTGGCTTCTCCCTCGCGCGCTTTCACCCTTTCGGGATTTTTATTGTCGGGCCGCAGATCCGGCAGAGGCCATTAATTACTCTCATTGAGCGATCCTGCCGTGGAGATTGCACCTGTCTTTGTCCGGACTATCTGCCGCGCTGATCCAATTTCGCCCGGCCGGCGAAAGTTGCCGCTTCGCTTCGGCCTCGAGAAATTATTAACGAAGCGCTAGCGCACCGTGGGCCGAATTATTTGCCCGATAAATCAAGCACCGGGCCAGCACGGCGCATCGACGAATTAACACGCACTGCATGCAACTTCCATCTCTAATTTATCGTCCGGCTGTATCGACGGCGCACTTGCGTGTATCGGGTCAGCGGATCGCGTCGCTCTAGTTTGAGACGTCTATGATAAAATATCGCCGGCCCGATAGCCACACGCTCAACGCGCCGACTATCCCGGCGTGATTTTGCAACTGAACGACGAGAGGTTCTTGCACCGTGTACTGGTCGTTCATAAAGTGGCGGTGTCATCTATGCGAGACCCGATTCCGGTCCCCCGTTGACGGATCTGTCATACGGTCCTGCGCTTTTCCAGTATATTGTTGGAAAATATATGTATTATGTTATAGTAGTATAG